TTGGTTGAGAGTCACTGCTCTGTCTTGTGCTCTTCCTCCTGGCCCTACACATTTCCCTCTCTTGGCTGCCCAGCACTCGAAGATGTTTTCTGGGCTGCTGTCATAGTTTTTTGGCCTTTATAAAGAAAATATTGATTACTGATATTAATGGTATTAGTTTGGAGGGTAGACCACACAAACACAGATATAGAACTTAAAAGCTGCAATATTTAAAAACAGGTGTTTAAAATGTTGAGCCTATAATTTTGCTGACACTTTAGAACAATGTTATCTATTCTGTTCTGCTATTTGGTTAATCTGGAGATTGTTTTTGTCCCAGGGACAGAAATAACGGCGGATACTTACTGGCAGCACTAGACACAGCGCAAAAGGTGAGGAATGAAGAGTCCGCATGGCTCATCAGCCACCTCTTTATTCAATTACGGCCGGCTGATGATGTCAGCTTCAGACGCCAGCCAGTGAAAATAAAAATGGCAGCTGATACTGCGGAGGAGGTGGGCAGCACAGGACAGGAGCTGCAGCCGCCGCAGGGAGTGAAAGGGATCCTCCCCATGGGACCCTCAGAGCCTGGCAAGCAGGGGTGGACGCTGGCAGGGCAAGGCAGAGCACCCCGACTGGAGCCCGAATGGGATGGTGAGGAATTGACATGCACGCCGGCCAGAGGCAGAGCTGGAACTGCACCCGGAGGCAAAGCAGACCCCAGGTGGGAGTGCCAGGATGACAGGGGCAAGGAGGAAACCACACCAGGGGGAGAAGACCCCGGGAAAGCCCTGAGGGGTTTACAGCCGGGGTGGGTATCGCTGCCGGTCTCGGCCGGGTTGATGGGCAGATGGGAGTGAATACTGGAGGTGATGGGTCAGGAGTAAAGCAACCCCCCCACTAGAGTCCAGGGCAGAGGGCCACCACGTCAGGAAGTGGCTTATTATTTTGTGTTTTGTTACTACATTTATTTAGTTACCCTGTAAGAAGGGGCATAGGGGGAGAGTGCAGGTATGCCCGAGGGACAGGGCTGAGGAGAAGCCTTGGAAGGTTTACCTTTTTTTTTTTGTGTTTCCCCGAATGAAGGGGTGGAGGCAAGGAGGGCTGAGGGGTAGGCCCACATGGGCGTACATGGCTATAGGCCATGGGCACCTAGATGCCAAGTTGGGAGGCATTATCCCAACGGAGGAGACGAGGCCAACAGTCGAACGACGCACCGAAGGAGATGTGAGGCCAGGGTATAGGGGTGGTGGAGCCCCGTGAATGACCGCTGGGTGAACCATGGGCCACTGAGTACACTCGATGACCAATCCCACCTACTGAGAAACAACAAGTCGCGGCAGATGAGAACAGGGGAGGCGATGAGGGGGAGACATCTATTCAGTCTGTGACACGAGTCCATAAGGCGCTTGACGTCTACCACCAGAGCGAAGGCTTCCCAAGAGCAGCTATTTGAGGCCCAGCGGCCACAGTTTTAGAAATGGACTATGAAGCTAAAGCAATCTAGTCAAAATATATAATGACTTACAGCAGCAGTATTTTACTGAATGTAGAATTTTGGGGGAGCAGGACTGTATATGTAAGATTCAAGATGTCTGGATTGGTTGAGGTTGATGGCTCATAAAGATGAGCTAAATTTGCATAAAGCAACTCTTTGCTAGAGGTAAGCTTTCCAGTTGCATCACCCTGAACATAACCTGAATCCATTTACCTGGTAATACAGCCATTTCTCAGGAGGTAATTTTAAAGCAAAAAAAAAAAGTGATTGGAAGGCTTCAAAACATGTACTGCCTATTCATATAGGTAAGTCTCTCTCTCCCCCCTTCTTGCGTATACAACTCAAAACAAGTTGCTGACAAAAGTCTTCCTACTGTATGAGCAGCTATTATTTATCATATGTGTTATTCTAATCAGCTCTGTGTAAAGCACCAAACGAACAAATTTGGAGCCCCTGTCCTGAAGTCATAATTTAAAACAATGATGGATACAAGCCCCATCATAAAAGTGATGTTAAACTACACATCATAGGAATTATAAATTTTCTCCTTTTCACTATTAACTGTTAGTACCTAATTTATTTCTATGACAGCCAACTTCCCAACAAGTACACATTTACCAGTTGTTTTTTTAACGGAAAAACATTCCTCCTTTGCGAGTCTCCTAGCAGACCTTACCCAGGCTAAGTACAGGCAGTCAAAAAACCCAAGGCTGAATCAATTCAATCTTCGCAGGTTAGTCTAAGATGCATAGATTGAATAAATAAGCAAGTGAACAGACATTCACTTTTGATTCCAGTAATGCACCCACGTCTGCAGTAGCCCAGGCCAAAAGCCGGAGGGTGCAAGAGCATACCTCTCTGCTCTGCTGGAGCAAATAGCTTGAATCTGGAGGCTGTCTTGGACAGAAGTTCAATAAACCAATGTAACCTAAATAAAGCCTGATACTACATCCATCCAGGTTGATTTTAAACCAGTTTCGGCCATTTTGAAACTGGTTTATGTGCACTAAACTTCTGTTGTGTTACAGATTTGAATCAGTTACCAATCACTTATACCAGTTTATATGTAATTTCTGTCCCTAGCTCCAGTGTCCAGAAGAGCTGTTTTCTGATATTTCATTTAAGAGCTTTCAATACATTTTCCCATCAGGAAAAAGGAACCCTTAGGTCTGCAAAGGTGCATAGCCACTAGAGTCTTAGACAGTTGTGGATTATGGCTCCCCGTGGCTAAAAAAAGACTGTCAAAAAGCCCAAAGCTGAATTGATTCAATCTTTGCAGATTAGTCTAAGCTGTGTAGGTTGAACCAATAAGCAAGTGAACAGACATTTACTTTTCATTCTGGAAATGTAGCCACATACCAGCAGTGACCCAGAGCAGAAGCTGGAAGGTGCTAGAACACGCTTCCCTGCCTAGTTGGAGGAAGGCTAGCCAGCCCACCCTGCAAGGGGGCGTTGTGGGGGAAGTGTAAAGCATCCTGGGATACTGGGAATTGTAAGTTAATTTGAATCTGGAGGGGCTCTGGGACAGAAATTCAATAAACCGATTTAACCGATACTACACCTATCCACGTTTATCTAAAACTGGTTTCAGCCATTTTGAAAATGGTTTGTGTGCAGTGAACTTCTGTTTTATTGCAGATTTGAACCAGTTTCCAGTCACTTGCAGCAGTTTATGTGCAATTTCTGTCCCTTGCCCTTGTGACAAGCCCATGCTTCTGGACTTCGCTGGTTGCCACATGGGGTCAGGAAGGAATTTTTTCTCCTTGAGTTGCTACAAGTATCTGGGGTTTTTTTTCTACCTACCTCAGAAGCATTGGGTGTTGGCTGCAGCCAAGGCTGAGGATTTTGACTAACATGTGCCAATGCTCCTGCCAGCACTAAAACCTGGAGGTCCCTCTTAGAGGGTCTTGCCCCTCCACTCAGGATCAGACTGATAGCTACATTTGGGATCAGGTAAGTATTTTACCTTGTGGGCAGAGTGGTACGGATTGTAGGTGATTTTGCCCTCTTCTGCCATGAGGGGCATGATTCTCTCCTTGGATCTCTGGACTGCATTTTAACCCCTTGTTTACCTGTGGCAGATTAGGATGTTTTTGGTGTCTCTGGGCAATATGCCTTGTAATTATGTGAGAGGGTTGATTGTCCAGGTTTAGGAATATGTTAGACAAGGTATGGGATAGTTTAAGTAGGGATGATCCTGCCTATTACATGACCTCTAGAGGTCCCTTCCAGCCCCATTTTCCTAGGATTCTAGGTGGAATTAGGCTGCCACCTAGAAAACAATTCCAGGCTTGGCAATTGGGTGCAGAATAAAATAGAAAATAGTGCAACTATTCTCCATCATTCACTCTCTTCAAAACAGTAGTATGATGTTGAAGCAGTAAATACGATTACACCAAGTCAGAAGACTGAAAATCCAGAAGCACAAATGCAGGTAGCAGAAAATCACCTGACCAGCTATGAAAAAGGAGCTGCTTAATGTACTTATAGTTTACATGGGATTCAAGTGCCATGGCAGACCCAGGTCCTATCTGTCTTTTTGCTCAAGAAAGGGATTTCTCAAGGCTCCTATCAGTGTAGGAAAAATTCAACAGTCAACCAAAGCAGGGCAAGAATCATTCCCAAAATTAACTAAATCTGGCCTGCATCATACCTTGGTTGTAAAATTGGCCAAATGTAGGGAGAAAGCAAGTTCTGAAGTCACAGTAAACTTGTTTTTTTAATACTTCAGGCAAATGTAACATTTAAAGGCTGAATCTTTACTCTAACTTGGGAAAAACACCAGATAAAAACAGGTACCTAAAGCTATCAGCTGAACTTTTAAAATATAGATGAAGGAGTTTTTTCACCTTTGGAGAATTTGGGCTTTAGCAAAGTCACATAACTATAAAAGATTATAATGGTCTTTAAACTTTCTTTAAAAGTTTAAATGACTTGCAGGACCTACATCTGACTGGACTCTGTTCCCAAGGTACCTATACATGTGCACTAAGGCTGCTCCAACGCGCTCCAGCATACTCCAGCATCATGTGTATCAGCGTCCCTGAGCTGAAAAATGGTGGCAGGGTGCTTTAACTAAAGCTCATTTGATGAGCTTTAGTTAAAGTGTCCCCGCCACTATTTTTCAGTGCTGGAACGCTGACAGATGTGACGCTTTGGGCGTTTAATTAGAGAGGCTCTCGGAACTGCTCTAATTAAAGCACCCCCACCCTGCCTCCCAGACCATGTGAATAAATGCCCCCGGAATTCAAAATTAGTCACTCAATCATGCTGTTAAACGACATATATATTTCTTTAAAAAGCAAGAAATACCATTGAATTTAAATATCCTCCATGCTGTGGTAGTGTTGGAATTATGTTGTAGCCATAATGAAGGTACCTTGTGTCCAAAAGCTGGTCTCAGATCTCACCCAACTATACATTCCAACAAAAGATATCACCCAGAAAAATCATCTTGAATGCTGAACTTAACTTTATTTTGTACCACGGTATTAAAGAAAAATTAGATAAAGGGAAAACATACCTGCTTTCTGGAACTTTTCCATGATCTTGTGCCGAACTGACTTCTCTAAGTTAAAGTAGTCATGGTCTTCATCAGGGTCTTTCACAAATAGAGGAATGTGCTGAAATACAATTACATGTTTACACTTCTGTTTTTCAGCAATAGCCAGCTGCCCATCAAGCCATTCATCTTGGGCCTGCTTTAACTCAGGGCATTTAGAAGAATTGAAGTATAACTGAGAATTCAGTACAAGAAAGAAAACTCCTCCAATCCAAAAACTGAAGTAGTCATCGCCCCAGTGCTTGCAATAATCATCTATAGTTTCTGGTGTTGGAGCATTGCCAATATCATGATTTCCACTGACAAATACCAATGGGATATCTTGGTCAACCTTCTTCAGAACATTCTTCAAATCCCGCTCTTGGTCGTTTCGCCACTGAGTTCCTATAAAATGAAAAGCTCAGAGTTATTTATCAGAAGTTCATGTTTATACTTTATTCTTCTGCTCCCATTACCTATATCTGTTTATACAACAGCATATATAGTACTCCCATCTTTTTGATCATTCAACTATATAGCAGGAAAAACTGTGAACTGTTATGTACATAAATTTAAAAAAAATGAAATATTAACTAAATTGACTCCCCTTTCATGTATTCTCTTCCTGCCTTCTTCCATACCTAGTATTCTAAAATTCTCAAAACTTTTCTTTGCACAAAACTGCTGACAAGGATCTATAGGCTCCATGACGGTGGATGCTGTAAGAATGTTGAGTCAGTATGTTGCTTTATCAACTCTTCATCTATTTGAAGCTTGTTGGGTTGTTTTTTTATCTGCATTATTCTATAGGCTGATGATCCACTGAGGAAAATTCAAAATTACTGGACAGTGTAAATCAAGTTTTACACAAGGGTAAAAAAAACAATGTAAACATCTGGTTTAAACTTTATGTCTGTGCAAAGGAATGAAATTTTTGCTCATTACTAGAACTACTTAAGCAGCAAAAATGTAATTAGTGTCTTGTGGCAACTCATTTATATAAGAGACTGTTTTAATAATGAACATGGTGCTAATTCTAAAGAAGGGTAACTGCTTACTTTGGTGATTTGTCTCCCCTCATGTCTAAAATAAGCATGTTTAGATATTTACACTTCTGCTGGAGATAGCTGTCCTTCTCAAAATAGGTGTAATTAGTTAGTAGAGTGATTTAGCAGATTCAAATCTGTTCTTCAGGCACAGGTATGCCCACATATTGTGTTCCTAAGGCACACAGTGAGTCAGCTGCCCAAGACACCTAGGATCTCAGGTACAATCATTTGAGAAATTCCGGCAGCACCAAAGAGTGATTCAGGTTTAGATGTCTAGGTACTCTAAACAGAGATCGGGGAGCAATTCAGAAAACCTGGTGCCTAAAGATAGCCACCAGTGTCTGAACTCCCACCCCTTTCAGGAGCTGAGGGATCAAACTCATGCTGCATGTCAGGAATTTCTTTACACTGAAAATCACAAGTGCACAGTCTGGCTCTCAAGACTAGGGCAGCAGTGGTTGAGCCCAACTGCTAAGCAATATCCTGGAGCTTAGACCATTTGCCTAGGAAGGAGAAGACCTGGTTTTCCTCTTCAGTCTCTGCTGTCACAGTTATGTCTTTTTTAATCAATGACTCTTTAATGTAAACTATAGAAAACAGTTTTGGCAACAAGGATCAGAAGCAGCATACCTGCATCCCAAGGGATTGCTTTCCTCTCTAATCTATTGCTCTTCTCATTGTCTTGCTTGCACTCCTTCTGACCAATGGATGTTTTCTTGTTTGCCTAGTGGGCCAACTTCAACAGGATGCATGGAGAGGACCTTTATTCAGCCTGTTCCATTGCTTGGTGATCACAGCACTCTCTTAAGGAGTAGAAGATGTAGGTTTAAAATCTCCTCAGGGTGAGAACTGCCTATAACTCAGGCTGTTCTGTGTTTCACATTTCTGTTAGAAGGTCCACATAATTTGTGTCTTTTTCTCTTAAAACACGAGGGCAGGGAACAGTGGAATCCCCATGTTCTGAGTATGAAGGCACCAAAGAAGGACTTTGTGCCAGATGGTTCGAAAATTGTATTTAGAGGCTTGCTTTTGGGAACTGGTTTGTAGGTCTGTAGATATTGCTTCCATTTTAGCACTGTTACCTATAATG